CTGCAGTTCCTGGAATATTTTAATTGTTAAACTTTTAAATTTGGGCACAAAAAATTACTTACTTCCAAGCTGCCTCTCTTTATTGGATTCAGCACTAATAATTTCTTCAGAAGATTTTCACAGTCGGTGGACATATAGAAGGGAATACGGTACTTCCCTCGTAAGACTCGTTCCCGCAGTTCCTTAAAAAAGCAAAAGAAAGCCCTTATCACCGGCTTTTGAAATTATTGTACTTGGGCATAAAAAGAATAATATCCAATTAAGCTGATACCTTTAAATTTTGGCCGTCAAAAGGCAAGGAGCCACTGACTAACGTATAAAGAATGACGCCCAGACTCCACACGTCCACTTCAGGCCCATCGTACTTCTTTCCTTGGAAAAGCTCAGGAGCCGCATAGGGTGGGCTTCCACAAAATGTGTCCAATTTGTTCCCAACTGTAAATTCATTACTAAAACCAAAGTCAGCAATTTTAATATTCATATCAGCATCAAGGAGAAGGTTTTCAGCCTAAGAGGAAAACAATAAAAAGGACACTGTAAAAAGTCTACCTAAAATAAAAATATTTGTTAAAAATTGTTTCAGAGCCCAAACTTACGTGTTTCCCTCTCATTTGTAAATATAATATCAAATTTAGAAGCCTGGTGCATAACTTCAGAATTACATCTATACAAGACTGAATTTTAATGCTATAAAAGGAAACCTCTCATTCATATGCACATATGCAACTATTTAAAAGAGTTTATTTAAAACCCATTTCTTTCCTCAAAGTAAGAGACATCCTGGAACTGTACCTTAATATGACCTGTTCTGATGCACATTTAACACTAATCCATCCTGGCTTAAACCAAGTTTACCCAAAGGAGCTCTATTTTAATAGGTTATTGTTAGTTAATGCAAGGGTCAGTGGTGTATCTAAAATAACCGTCAGTCAGGGGTTCTGTGACTAACGAATTCTTTCCTTTGTCCTCTCTTGTAGAATGCTTCCTCAACAAAGTACTTTTTAGTAAAACAAAATAAAATAACACAGCCTCCATTAGATCTTGTCTGTTTTAAGCTTCCTTTTGATGTTCTAAAACTAGATTCTTTTCTTGAGGTATATTCATGAAAAGCAGTAAATTTCCCACCATGTTTTGAGATGCCGGTTTTCCAAAATCCTAAAACAGAATCACTCAAAGACAACATTTTAAATGTGTCTTTTGTAAATGCAAGCAACTCAATAATGGACTCGCTTTTGTATATGTTTTGTTTCAAACTCTACGTTATAACTGATGGATAGACTAACAAAGTTATAGGTTACTTTGTGGATGTGTTTTATCAGGTTCCAAAAAGGAGTAAACTTTGACTAAAATGAAAATCAGAGTTCTTTATATCATTAGAGAGTCCAACAGTCAGCAGAGTCAGGCACTCTACCCATCATATAGCTCTTCTCTCCCCCAGCCCCCTTCTTTCTTTCTTTTTTTATGATATACTAGCTTGGAGTATCTGTTTTCATTTTGTTTCAGAAAATGCAGATACACCTAGCACCCAAAATATTCAATAAGAATGTGGTATCATTTATGATATAAATATTATAAAAGCATGTAAGTTTTGGAGATTTATATTAGATCATAACATGTTGGACTGTGTGACAAAACCAGGTTATTTTGATGCTCTCATGTAAGGTCCTGGTCATCGCAAATTTCTGAAGCTATTTGTGATCAAGTTGGATTTTTTTTAGTCTCTCTAAAAATGTCTGGATGGGTATCAAACTATGCAGGCTGCCTCAGAAAAGGAGAGATGCTGGGGGTTCTGAGGTCTCCTTCCGGGAGTGTGGAGGGAAAAACTCTCTCCACTGGACTGGAGGGAAAACACAAGGTATTGAACATAATTTTTTTGTAAATTTTTTTCATATAAGAAATGAGATGATAAGGTGGGGGTCAGGCACAGAAGCAGGGAAACAGTCCTCTTCTTTCTCTTTCTTTGTTGAAGTGATTTCCCCTTAAAATAGCTGAGGGAGGAAACTGAGAAATAGAACAATTTGGAGTAGCAGAAAATCCATAAGCTCTAAAAATGGAGCCAAAATACAGAATACAGAATTAGACTTTTGACAACTGTTTAGAACGATATATTCAAATATAACACAAACTAGTGGAACCGGCTCTATGAACACATTTCAATGATCCCTACATTTTAAATCCTCTCCCTTAACCAACTACTTGACCTTTTATGTTGTTTCTCAGAAATGGTGGATTTTCTGCAAGATAAAGGAGCTGAGATCCGGAAGGCCCCTGGGCACACTTCCTGATGTCAAGATACACCATCCTCCACAACCTGCCCCCAACACACTTAGCTCCTTGTCAGTTACACCACCACTGGCAGGTGGCCACTCCTTAAAAGCCCATGCTCTCCTTTAGTTGAGAGATGCTTTGAGGCATGTTCTCCCGACACAATAACAAGATGTCTGTCTGTCCTATTTAAAAAAATTCCTTTCTTCCTTGGCAATCCTCATTGTCTCAATAGTTGGATCTTTGTGTGAGGAGCAGCCAGACCTAGGCCAAAATCCCCCTGCGGTTCCACACTAGTGCTAGGAATTGCTAAAGGCTATGAGGAAAGAAGTAAAAAAGAAAGAGACTCCTGCGTAAAGGACAATGCAAGTTAAATTTGGAAGAATGGTGAAAAAAGGAAAAAAGTCTTAAATATTTTAGCCCACAGAGTTTCTACCTTCATTTTTAAAACAAAATCTTTCTGGCCACAATAATTTTTAGACTAACCACATATTTCTTATTCCAAAATATGCTATTTTATACTAATCGCATGCATTCTGTGTTCATAAAAATATTTAAAAACTTTCCTTATTTCTTTGAGCTTTATGGTCAAGG